AATGAGTTTATTGTAACCCACTAATTATTTGATTGGAATGAGTTGATTGTAACCCACAAATTATTGGATTCTAATGAGTGGATTGTAACCCACAAATTATTGGATTGTAACGAGACGATAGTAACCCGTAAATTATTGGATTATAATGAGTTTGTTGTAAGCCACAAATGATTATATTATAATAAGTTTTTGGTAAGCCACAAATTATTGTATTTTAATGAGAGTATTGTAACCCACTAATTATTGCATTATAAAGAGTTTATTGTAACCAACAGATGATTGGATTGTAATGAGTTTATTGTAACCCACAAATTATTGGATTGTAATGAGAGAATGTAACCGACAAATTAGCTGATTGTAAGGAGACGATCCTTACCCACATAATATTGGATTATAGTGAGTTTAATATAACAGAAAAATTGTTGGATTCTAATGATCTAATTGTAACCCACAAATAATTGCTTTTAAAATGAGTTTATTCTAACCCACAAATTATTGAATTGTAATTAGAGGATTGTAACGCACACATTATTGATTTATAATGCGTTTCTTGCAAAACAGAAATTATTGGATAATAATGAGTTTATTGTAACCCACAAATTATTCGAGTGTAATGAGTTGATTGTAACCCAAAAATGAGTGGATTGTAATAAGTTTATTGTAACCCGCAAATTAATGGATTGTAATGAAACAATTGTAACCCACAATTTGTTGGATTATAATCAGTTTATTGTAAATCAAAAATTATTGGATTATAATGAGTTTATTGTCAACCACAAATTATTGGATTATAATGAGTTATTAAAATCCACAAATTTTGGGATGAAAATGAGTTTATTTTAACCCACTAATTATTGGTTGTAATGAGAGGTTGTAACCCACAAATTATTGGATTGTAAGGAGAGGATACTAACCCAGAAATTTTTGGATTATAATGAGTTTATTGTAAGGCACAAATTATTGGATTGTAATGAGAGGATTGTAACCCACACATTATTGGATTATAATGACTTTATTGTAAAACACAAATTATTAGATTGTAATAAATCGATTGTAGCCCACAAATTATTGGATTGTAATGAGACGATTGTAACCAGTAAATTATTGGATTATAATGAGTTGATTGTAACCCGTAAATTATTGGATTGTAATGAGTTTACTGTAGGCCACAAATTATTTGATGGGAATGAGCTGATTCTAACCCACAAATTTTTGGATTCTAATGAGAGCATTTAACCCACAAATTATTGGGTTATAATAAGTTTATTGTAACCCAGAAATTATTGGATTATAATGAGTTTATAGTAACCCACAAATTATTGGATTGTAAGAACAGGATTTTAACGCACAAATGATGGGATTCTAATGAAATAATTGTAACCAACAAATTATCGGATTATAATCAGTTTATTCTAACCCACGAATTATTGGATTTTAATTAGAGGATTGTAAGCCACTAATTATTGGATTGTAATGAGTTTATTGTAACCCACAAATTATTGGATTATAATGAGTTTTTGGAAGCCAAAAATTATTGGATTGTAATGTAATCATTGTAACCCCAAAATTATTGGAATATAATTAATTTATTGTAA